TGTGTGTGTGTGTGCGCGTGTGTGTGTGTGTGTACATAAATATATAAACTTTTGAACCAATTCTAATTTTCATCCTTATTTAAATAAGTAAAAGATAAAATGACAAAATTCCGTGTGAATTCCGACACAAGGGCCAATGCAATAGATAGATTTCTACGAAATCTACCTAAAAACTTTTTGAAAACAAATTGAAAATATTTTTTCAAAATAAATTAGAAAAAATGCAATAATTTTTTGTTCCACTGTACCCAAACATGCTTAGGACTGAAAAAAAAACTGGAAATAAAGTTTAAAACATTTCTTCGTTCATAGAAACTTAAATTTGCACGAATTTTCTCAAAACTCATAAATTAAATTGAAATTGTTCGAATTATTAATCAAAAACTATTAAAATTAGTGTGCATTGAAGTTTGACGATGAATATCTTTAAAACGGTTAATTTAAGCAACTAATCATAGTTGACCATTTTTGTAGAGCAGTAAATTTCTTGTGAAACGGCGAGGTGCGCATATCATAATAATTTTTTTTTAACGAGTTACAAACTTTATAAGAAAAAAGGAATTTGTCTGAAGATAATCAAACTTTAACCTTCAATAAATTTTGAACGGTTTGGTTGACAAAAAAATTGTAAGAGGCCTTTTTTGTAGGACATTCAATTTGCTACAAATACATGAGACGAGACTTTTTTTTTCAAAATAGTAAATACCGAGATATAAATTTTCTCTGTAATCATAAGAAAAAGATAAATAACTGAAGGACAAAGGACTTTCCTATTAAAATTAAGAGCTCATACTTGGAGAGAATTTTTCTGAGTTGTCTACCAACCTATTTTTCAGAGTATAAAGTTAAAAAAAAATAGTAGATTTTTTTGGCCTTCCCTATAGCATATATCAATTTTTTATTTTATAACTACTATAAATTTATCAAAACAGATTTGGTAATTTTAAAATGATATTACTTCAATTACAGGTATATGAATTACCTATTTCGGAAGTAAATATTGAAGAGTTTTCACTTCAAACAATTGTAAATGCATTAAAATTTAATGCTTTACCTGAAAATTGGAGCTGGACAACCGATTTGCTAGACTCTAAGAAACTTGTCTTGTGTTATATAGACAAAGTTTCTATGAAATTGAAGTTTCGCGTTAAAATTAATCAAAACTTTAAAGTCTGGGTAAGAAATTTCCGTATATGTATTTTTTCTAATAATCTATTTATAAAATGTTTTCTTAGCTGAGCAATATTAAAACTGATAAGTTGATTGACTTGAACAAAAGTTTTTCAAATATATCCGATTTCTGGAATTTTTTAAGAGAATCGGTGAAATATACGTTATGTGACGGAACTGGATTTGATACAGAAAAGTAAGAGTTATGACTTTAGTTATTTTATTGTTAGGGAATTTATTTTAAATTTCGGTTTTTTTGTTATAAAATTATAGATGTTCTTCGGATTGCACTGGTGTGCCATTATCTCATGAAGAGTACAAAAAGCAAATGAATGGTTTTCGTTGTGTAGCTTGTCGAAAAGTAAGAAATAAATTACAGAATCAATCTTATAAAACCAAGTCTGATTACAAAGAGCGTTATGATAATTTGAAGTACCAGGAGAGTCTTAAAAATAAACAAATTGAACGTCTCCAACGCAAGGTAAGTAATAATTTTTTGTTCAATTATTGTATCAGGAATCCATAAACCGAGGTCATCAACATACTTACTAATTATCTCCAGGTGCTGTAGTACGGCTTTTAATTGTTATACCTTATAATCATTTAATGTTTTTAGAAATAGGTGATTTTAAAATCTGAAAACATCAAACGTAAAATTTAATTTGCAAGGTATTCATGATTATATGAAAATAATTTGTGAAAGTAAAATATTAACATCGTCTCAATAACATTTTTCAAACTTAAAAATCTATCTATTGTATGTAGTGATATTTGAGAAGATCTAAGATAAAACAATAAAAATTCAAAAAATGTTTATTATTTCGTGATCAACTCTCGGTATATTAATACGTAACTCAGTTAATCTCTAAAGTTTCTTAATTTTTACAGAATAAGTTGCTCAAAAAAATAATTGATACACAAAAAGCCAATTGCTTAGCTATCAAAGATGATGCTTTAAGAGCTGAAATTTCAATTTTACCTCCTATACAACAACTTGCAATACGTGTTTGTTTCAACGCTGCAAAAGTATCTAATCCGAAGCAGAGAAGATATACGGTACAGTGGGTGTATGAATGTCTTTTACTTCGCATTAAAAGTGCATCTGTGTATGATAGATTAAGAGAACGAGAAATTTTAACGCTTCCGTGTAAAGACACTCTTAACAGATATATACAGAAATTGGACAGTGCTTTTGGCTTTCCTTTAGCTGTGTTTGACACTCTACGTATAAAAAGTGGAAGTATGGAAGTACATGCGAAACGGGGTATTGACTTACAATTAAAGTTGTACTTCTACTGCAAATCTTCGATATAACATTTTCAGTAGTGTATCAAGCTTACAACTCGCCTAACAAAACCTATACGCTTTGTAGAACTTTTCCTAATATCTTCGCTTAGATTTATAGTTAGACTATGCTTATATGAACTAAGGCATGTGCTTCTAATATTCTAGAATAACTTTCTGTCAAGCTTTATTAACAGTAGTTATTATTATTATAACATGTCAACTTTTGAATCTAAATAGACTAAATATTATAAATTGATTTTTAATAGGTACACTTCTAATCGACGAAGTAGCTTTAAGCGAAGCCATCAAGTTAAATCGAAAAACCATGCAGCTAGATGGCTTTGTCAATTTAGGAGCACATACACCACAAAATCTTCAGGACACGCGGGCTGATCATGCCCTAGTGTTCATGTTCCAGCCTTTCCAAGGTGATTGGGTGCAAGTTGTTGGCAGTTTCCTCAGTAGGAATTCCGTAACTAGTGCTATTCTACACAAATTACTCATAGAATTTATAATACTATTGGAAAATGCTGGGTTGTTTGTGGATGTTATTACCTCAGATGGTGCACAGTGGAATCGAGGAGCGTGGACACTTTTTGGTATCAAAGATGGTCAATGTAGCTGTGAACATCCATGCAACTCTGATCGAAGACTATACTTTGTTTCAGACTTTCCACATTTAATTAAATGTTTTAGGAACAAAATTTTGGAGAAATTGTTTTTTTGGGTACGCTATTATTTTTAGTAGATGATTAATTTTAAAAACAATTATGTATTTATCAATAACATAATCAGCTTTCTTGATGCTTGGTGTTATTGTTCTTTTCATGTAGACACCGGATGGTTTTGTAAAGAAAAGTCACTGGGAAACTCTGTTAATTCATGAAAATTATCTCAAAGCCAATTTGAAAATAGCTTATAAACTAACTCCACAACATTTGAATCCAGAAGGTTATCAAAAAATGAACGTTCCTTTGGCCTATCAGGTAATAATGAAAATATAAACACTTTTTTTTATTGTTTCTATAGTAATGTTGATAGTTATTCTCTAAAATTGTTAGGATTATTAATGATTTCTTTTGCTTTCAGTTATTTTCCAAAGACATTCAAGTTGCCATGAAAGTATATAAAAATAAAACAGAAGAGCTGAGAGACTGTGACTGTACGATTGCTTTCATCGAAAAAGTGAATAATTTAATTCAAGCGATGAGTTCACGTACGCCTTCAGGTGCTTTGCGTTCAGATCCGGAGTGTCCTCGAAGAAGGGTAATATTCAATATATTATTAAAATTTTTAATAATTTTTTGCAGTTTTTTCGCAATAATATAGCGAAAATTGCAATTTTTAAATGGAGACTCATTATCAACATTAAAAATTCAATATTTGTGTACTTAAATATTGGAATGAAAACTGAAACAATACATCAAGTTTGTGTAAGTAGAAAAAGTTAAATAGTTCAAAAACACTTCAAACTAATTGTGATATTTCTCCTATTAATGTTCACTTCATAATTGGGCTCGAAAATTTATTTCTTCACTTACAATTATAAAACAATACTCAGTGCGATGGGCGAATCGAACTAACTTAAATTTACTCATTTAAAAACTCTTGGGACTTACTTTAACTAAGACCTACGTTTACCATTTATCCTGATTTCCACTAAATTTGAATACTTTTATTATAACTATAACTAAAATACTCTCTGTTCTTCGTTTTTTATAACTGTTACCACAAAAAGATTTACAAATAAAATAATAAAAATATTTATTTTTGCTAGGCAATAACTGACTTTTTAAGTTATTTAAAAATTTGGGAAGCTAAAGCAAATGAGGAGAAAGAACTTAATAAAAAGAATAAGAAGAAGAAGAAGAAGAAACAAAAAGAGAATAATGAAAGTGACGAAAATGAAAAATTTTTCTTTGCCATTACTCCCAGTACACTAAATGGATTAAAAATTACGTTGCAATCGACTCTTGAGTTGAGTGACTTTCTGCAAAGAGAGTGCAACTTTGATTATTTAATGACGTCACGCCTAAACCAGGACCAATTAGAAGTATGTATTGAAGCAAAGATAAAAATAATTTACTATTTTGTGAATATTTTAATATTTCAACTTTTAATCTTTTTCAGAAATTCTTTGGCATAATGCGAAGTGTTTGTCGGTGCAATGACCACCCTGATACCATTCTTTTCGGGCAAGTTTTTCGTCTATTATGTTCCTACTCATTGGTCACCCCACCGAAAGGGTCCAACGTTACTGCTGGCGAGCTTCTTCAATCTTTTATGCAGACAAAAGAATCTTTTGCTGCTGCAAATACGTTGAAAAAAAATTGGCTTGCAGATATTGATGCTGTTATTGAAAATGGGATTGTTAACAACGAAGCTTCATTTCCCGGAGATATCAATGGTAATACTGCCCTTCAAAAGGTTTCTGTTGCTAAAACACCTTTCGAGAGTGTGCTTGACGAAGATAGTGATGAAGAAGCTGTGGACAATGGTTGTTCTTTTGTTAGAAAACCATTTGAAAGTATTTTAGATGAAGACAGTGATTGTGATGTTGATGAAAATGAACATTCACATCAGGATTATTACGACCCGTTTAATGATTTATTGGACATGGAAAATTCTAATGGTAACTCTTTAGATGAGTGCCAAGAGAACACTGATCGTAGTCAAGATGAAGAAGAAGAAGATCCCGATTTTCGTGATGATCCACATTATCATCATGATTATGATGTTGTTTCTACAAGTGATGGTGTAGTAGCTTACATCGCTGGATATATGGCGCGAAAAGTTCAACGATTATCCCCATGTTGTGACTGCATCGAAACCTTACGCTCTGATAATCCTTCTCAACGTGCCGAAGTCATAGAATTAATGAGCAATGGTGAATTGACATTTCCTAGTGATAATCTTTTTAAATTAATAAGAAAACTCGAGAAAATTGTTCTAACTGTTGTCGGTACTAAAACAGTGAATATAAATACCATGCATAAAGTTTTAGAGAGAGTAGCTAGAGCTAAGTATTTACCTATTTTAGGCTGTGATACTCATAAAAAAAAACTTATGGCTAAGATTTTAAATAATTTTATAGTGATGCGCGGAAATTTTCTAGTTAATCTAATTAATCGGACTCTAAATGAACGAAAAAACATGACAAAAAAAACATCGCAAAAATTCCAAATTGTCTTAAATAATAATAATAATAATCTTTATTATAGATAACAACTATAACTTTAATTTTTTTACTCGATTTATGTCTTAAAAGAATAAGTGTTTACTGTTTCTAGTCTTGTAAAATTCCAATTATAAAACTAATAAATTATTTCTCAATATAAATTGAATTATTTTTCTTTTCAATATTCTACTTTTCCTTAACTATGGCCGAATAAGATGAGATGCAATATTTTATTTATAATTTTAGTATTATTATTGACCTATTTTTATTCATTGTTGATTATTTATTAATAAATATTTATTTATCATCACCATGAGTCTACCAGGCATTAATTAAATTTTTTGTAATTAAAGAGAAAGGTAAATAATTAAAAATAATAAATCATAAAAAAATACACTGATAGTTTTTTAGATTTTCTAAATGTGCATTTTTTTAAATTTATTTTCAATTATTCATGTATTTTCTTTAATCACAAAAAATTAATTAATACCTGCTAGATTCAAAATCATTATTTATTACGATAGTTTATTGTAGTACACTTGATGCGTTCTTTTGTTAATTTAAAATTCTTTTATCGATTAACATATAAATGCAATCACTACATTCCGCGGGTGAAAATTCAAAAAACCTGACATTAGCAACACTGATGCGCTCTAGTGAGAGAATGCGGAAAATGATGTATCCTTCAACTCTCGGGCGCTTGCAACACATGGCGAGCGTCCTCCTTCTATCTAGCCTCCGTGAAAAACATCCTTACTTACGTTCATACGCGCATTGTTACTGACACACTAACGCTTGCGTACACTAGTGTACAGTCTCACACATTAATCTAGCATCACGTACGTCCGCCGTCTACGGTCGGTCCGTCCCCACTCTCGGTCTACTGCATGCGAAGCCGGCAGCATCTCTAGCGTCTCACTCTCGCATTATCCACTGCCTTTTCACTCAATTTTTATTCTTCTCTAGCGCGCTTCTGATTGGTCACTTTCATTAATTTATAATTAATTATCTATGCCTCTGATTAAAAAATGGCTGAGGACTTTTCGTCTCAGAATAATTTCCTCTTTCGATCCCTACAAGGAAGTGCGTGACTTCTGGGACACCCTGTATATATATATTACGGTGCTTTTTTTGTGACTATTTTTTTTTTCGCTCCCATCCCGAAATTTTGTTGGAAATACACCCAAAAAAATTCCCTGAAAGTTTGAGCCCTTAATATTAATATTAAGTACTCCTACACAGCGTGTAAAGATTTCCCATCTGAAATATATGAGAACTTTCATTTTTAACTTCCCGCTAAGAAAATTGAAAATTTTCAAAAATCAGGAAGTTATTGGTTTTACCCCGTTTTTCGAAAATCGAGTTCTCATCAGATCTTGACGTTTTGAGGCCCTAGGAAGCTTCCCTGGCTATTTTCACGATGATGTCCGTACGTCTGTATGTATGTATGTGTGTGTGTGTGTGTGTGTGTGTGTGTGTGTGCGTGAGTGTGTGTATGTAAACCTCTCGTAACTTTTGAACGGCTTGACCGATTTCATCGCGGTTGGTGTCATTTGAAAGGGTTTCACCAAACTTAGATTTCCTATAAGTTGGAACCAATTCGGACCAGTAGATTTCGAGAAATTGAAAAAAATGTAAAAAAAAAAAGTGACAAAAAAGTTGTTTTTTTTTTTCATTTTTTTTTAATATCTCCGAATTGGCTGAACCGATCATCTTCAAAAACTAATCAGCTCTTAACCTTGAAAACCCGCATCGATCGCTACATAAAACGTCAGAATCGGTTGATGCATTCGTGAGATATCGTTGTCGAAAAAAATCGAAAAAAGTGTTTTTTTTTAATTACTTCGAAATTCCTTGCTTGATCGATTTAAACTTGAAAATTTTTCATGAGGCTTCGAAAACTTCGTCGATTGCCGCCAACCGCGTGAAAATCGGTTGATTTATTAAAAAGTTACAGTAGTTTGAAAATTATAAAAATCGTGATTCATCGAATTTTGATAAGACTTTTGAGCTCGAAAAGCTCGAAAGCATAGCAAAGCTATCTCTTTGAGCTCGGAGAGCTCAAAATAACACAAATTGTATTTTTGAGCTCGAAGAGCTTGAAAACGTCATAAGTGCAATTTTAAGCGCCTAGGTATGGAATTAGCGGGAAGTTGCAGGGATGGCCTTTAGAGTCAATCGTTTTTCTAATTTTTTTTTTTTTAATTTCTATAGCTCAGTGGAATTTCATAGCATCGCTTCGACCATGGACGGGTTTTTTTCAGAATTGAATGCTCCACAAAAGTGTCCATTGTCGCGAAGTCGTAACTCATACTGGCGGGGTAGTACGGACCGCCAAACCGAATTTTTCATAGAATTCTTGTTTTTTCACTCATTATCTCATAAACAACAAGACACACAGAAAAAATGTAGATAATGATTTTGTAGGAAATTTGATTTCCTACAAAAAAGGTTTTTAGCACTAAATCACTAAGATCGATATTTTCTGAGATATTAGTCATTGAAGTTTACGTAGCATTGAATTTCCACAAAATGTTGAATCAAATCTTGAAAAATATTGATTTTTTTATTCGTATCATAATTAATATTAGTAATTACTTATTGATTAAGTTACAAATTCAACGAAAAACATTTTTAATTGTATTTTTCTGAAGTTTTTTTATTTTTAAATAAATTTCTCATTTAAATCACACCATAATATTTAAATTTATGATTTAATAATTTAATTTCAATGAAATCCTAGCTAAAACTATATTATGTATGATCATTACGAAGAATATGGGATGTTTCTTCCTTGCTGTGTATTGTGATACTGATTAATTGCGGTTTATTTTTATTGCTCTGGTAGTACCATTGAGCTTTCATTTGACCTTGAATGCGTTCAACAAATTTCCCCGTTAATTGCAGCGCTTTCTTTGTTTTCGCGTACTAATCCCGCTAGTGTAAGAACAAAGCTTAGTGTGCATTGACCAGTGTGACGCCGTTGTATGTATACTTTGTTAAATTTGAGGTTAGATCGACTTTAACCATCATTAAAATGAGTGAAAAAATTGGTAATAAAACTTGGAATTATTTAATTGGATTTGAAAGAAGCCAAATAAATAATAATAAGCTGCCTTCGTATCGTGACTTCCTGAATTTGTTTATGTATAAACATCAGTCTCTAAAATTAACTATTCGAAATAGTGCTACTAGTGTTATTAACGATACAAATACTATTTGGGCTAGTTTCAAAATTCCAACTATACGTCCTCAGCACAGTCTCACGAAGTTGGAAAAATTTTATGCCGAATATATAAAAGTGAAGACACATCATAAGAGAGAAAAAAAATCGAAAGCACAAAGACAGAATGTTGAAAAGTTTAACCAAAAACTAGACAAATTGTTCGATATTTCGAATTCCACAATGGTTAAGAATTTGCCAAAAGAGCAGCAACAATTTCTGAATGAGTGTCAAAAGGGAAAAATCAATCTTTACTCGCCCGTTACTACTTTCTTGCCGGTGGAAGTTTTTCAGAATAAATCTGACACTGAACAGGAGATAGCAAATGAAGATAATGAGAAAAATACTGACGAAATTGGTTAGTTTCTTCTCGCATACAACTATAAATTATCAAGCTCAACAATCAATCATTTTTTAATAATCGAAAACAATTTCTTATAATTTAGACTTATATTTTTTCTACTTACTTGTAAAATTTAATTCGCATTAAAATTCTAATTTTCTTAACCTCATTTTCTGAAAATTGAATTCTATATAATTTTTCAATATTTTAAAATTTGTTTCTAGATAATAACTTTTTTTTCTAATTATTAGTCTATCATTTTTGGTAAAATTTCTATCAAGTAAATCTGAATAAATGAGATAAATCAAAATTTATTCAATTTTGACAAAAATTTTGACTTAAATAAAAAAACAATTTGTTTTCGATTTTTTTGCAGTCGAAAATTTCCACGCTATTAAAAAATTGAAGTCTCTGTAACCAATAAATTTAAAATACATATCATTTTATCTTATTTTTATTAGGGAAAATTGACAGAAACTCAATTCAAAGAATATCTTTGCTTCTGGATAACAGAAGCTGAATAAAAAATTCAAAAAAATGTTTGGATCGATTGAGTTTATTTATTTAATTCTGAAAAAATTGTTTTAGGCATGAAATTATCGCAACATTCGATGCCAGCAAGTTTTTGTAGTCTATCATCAAATTCCAGTGGGTTGAAACGAACATATTCTGATTTTGAGGATGAACTCCCTGTACCTCCGAAAAAGAAAAAAATCAATATTTCAACTCCATAACTTGTATCAGCTTTAGATCGCACTGGAACCATAGTGATAGAGATGCAATGTTCATCATTGCAGCTGTTATAGAAAGTCCGGGATTAGATATTGATAAATATAATGTGAGTTATTCTTCTATTCGCAATGCACGTATTTCTAAGAGAGAAGAAATTGTCGATGCAATTAAAAAAGAAGAAATAGACGAATCTTGCGTAGTTCATTGGGATGGAAAAATGCTACCTACAGGACAAGGAACAACAAAAGCAGAACGGCTCTCGATACACATTTCAGGAATAAGTGGCGAAAAATTTTTAGAAGCTCCGTTACTTTCTGACGGCACAGGTATTAGTCAAGCTTCAGCCGTATTTCAGGCTCTGACGACACGCAATATTTGCGATAATATTAAAGGAATGTGTTTCGATACGACTGCTTCAAACACAGGTAAATTGTCAGATTGTTAAATTACATTTTCAAATCTACGCTAGTCATAATAATTAAAGGATATAATAAGAAGTCTAAATTTTTGGGTGTTTTTCAACGAGTTGTAACTTCGAATAGAATGATTGTTGAGCAAAAACAAAAAAAAAGCAAATAGTAGCTCTAAGTGTCTAGTTTTTAGATACGACCATGACAATTTTTTTATCACGTTTGAGTCTGGAGAAATGCTGAGGAAACTACAAGAAAAACAATTTTCCAAATTTTTTCTTATCTAAAAAAAGGTCTACGGACTTAAAATTTTTTTTTTCCATTCTTTCACTCAAAAAC